GGGGATAAATTCTATAGACATTTTTCTGTTTAAATAAATATTTTCAGAAGTCTTTCTGAATATGACCAGGATGTAGGAGGCAGAATTTACGTGGGATGTACGTGAACCTGTGGAACAGCCTGAGTTTACCCCTGGGACAAGCAGGGGCGCATGTTAGTAAGGCCTCAGATCTAGCAAGACTCGGATGTTTACCGATATTTATTGCTGTGAAACCAAACTTGTAGGTACTCATAAGACTTCTGTTTTGTTTTTGTTTTTTAATTGAAACAAGGTGTCGAGACTTTGATTTTGGGGTCCTCCTGTCAGCTTCCCGAGTGCTGAGATGATAAGCTTGTGTCACCGCACACAGCAGCTTTCAGGTTCGAAAGATGTGCTGCCATAAATAGACTGCCTTGTACTCAGCAAACCCTCTCTGAGCACTGACGAGTACTTGCACCTTTCTGTACCTTCCCAGAAACCCTTGAAATCTGTTAGGAAAACTAGGAGGGCCCAGCGTTTATCTCCGTGTCTCCATCTTGGTGTGTGTTTGGTGGAGCCTTTGTACGTGGAGCCTAGAGATGGAAGTGCTGTTAATGTGAGACAGAATGCGTCTCATTAATTGTAAAGTGTGCTGGGCTGTTCGTCCTCAAAGTGCATAATGGGGATGGCGGCACCTCATTACCATGCACAGAAAAGGCCCAGAGTAGCAAGTCTGGAGTGCAGTGTTGGTGCACATCTGTCTTCTAGGAGAGCTAAACAAGTTACTGAAGTTAAAGAAAAGAAATTTTTAAAACACCTTGTAGCAAGTATTTTCATTGGGAACACGTACTCTGACCAAAGATCGTGACTACTTGATGTGCATGAAAGTCATATTTTTAGAATGTCATGAAAAATGGAGAAGCATATGAAAGGCTTCAGGAAATAATGCTGGTAGGGACTTTAGATTAAAGAGGTAATAAGATCTGGCTAGGCAGACTGAGGAGAGACAGTTTAGTAGTGAAAAATAAGGTTATCAGACAAGTAAATGGCAGGCTGGAAAATAAAAATGTATCATTGAATGGCAGGGAGCCATTGCCTTTTTTCAAAAAGCAAGATACTGAAATTACCGCACCCTCTGCATCATTTAACTTGAACATTAAAGGAGATCCTAGAGTTCAAGTGAAGATGGGAAGGAAAAATTATAGTAAATCCACCTAAAGATTAGGGTCCAGTTTATGAATTTATTTTAGAGGTTGAGGTGCAGGTGTAGATTAAATGTAAAATGAAGGCCCAGACAACTCTACTATGAAATTGGATGCAAGTTAATGAGAACAGGGTTAGTCACAATGTGAAAGGCAGGCAGACGTCTATGACTGAGAACTTAGAATTTGGGACCATCGTGGGGGGTGGGATGGAAATAATCCCATCGGCACCACGGTATAAGGAGTGTCCACATTAACAGTTAAAGTCAATTCAATTTTGAAAAGTGCTCAACAGATAGGACTAGAGGTATAGCCAAAAGATTATGGTTGAGTGAGGCAGGTAGCCTCTGCCCTCTGCTCAGAGCCCAGTGGGGGCCACTGAAAGACAGTAGGGAACACCTGCTCCCAGATCTGACCCTAATCCAGAGTGTTACTGATTCAGAGAGGAACCAAATCCAAGTGCTGAGGAGCAGGTGATTTTCACAGGTGAGAAGGTCAAGGTTTGAGTTTCTTAAAATCAGGTAGGATGCCCGGTATAATAAACAGACATCATTAGGGTCAGAGGAGGAGAGGCACTGGACTGGAGGTGGGAATGAGTTCTTGTTCAACCATGATAGAGCAGCAGAGATACCACAGAAGATGCAGCAGCTTCCTCCTCGGGAGGCTGCAGAGGACTCGGTGAAGGAGGAGCACAGAGTGACTGTGTGCAGCAATCAGATTTTATTCGCCGCCTGCTGGCTAGTGAGGCGTTGAAGTTGGTGGCTGAGCAGAAGGCAGGCAGGGTCTGGGCACAGGCAGCCCTGCCCTGTTGGAACCACTTCTTTCTGCCACACCCTGGCCACAGCTAGAGCAGGAGTTTTCACCGACCCCTGCTCTTCCCTACCTTACATGGCACTTCATCCTTGATGCTTTCAGGAAGTGTTGACATAACATGTGGGCACCACAGAAACACCAGAGTTGTAGGATGGAAAAGAGAAGGGAGATGAAGAGGATGATGGCTACAGAGGAAAGCTAGAGGAAGGGTCCTTCCTGTAACTTACAGTTCTCATGAGGAAGTTGGACATGGGCAAAGTCTTTTTAAAGGATAAGCTGCTCAGACCTGGTGATGGTTGCTCTAACGACCCAGGGCACTGTTGGGAGATGGAGTCATGTAGGAAGCTGTAGGTTTGGGTGTCATTGACGTCTGAGCAAAACCCAATGAGTGAGGAGCACAGGCAGAGTGCCAGGAGCCGTACTCACCCACCAGGAGCGCCATTGAGAGCGTCTCGCAGTAGCCGGGTGTGCCATAGCTGGGACGTAAACAAAGCAGTGCTGATGCATGAGCCAAGGAAAAGATTTCTCTGACTCGGACAGTCAGGAAGAGTGGACATCACTGCCAGTATGGGCGAGAAGTCATCCGTTCCAAAGTTGGGAGTGTTGACTGGGGAGCTTGTGGGGAGCCACAGGACTTGCAATAGACTGTTTTCGCAGAGAAGCTGACACAGACTGGTGCCCTAACGAGGAGCAGCAGAGGGTTGAAAAGAAGATGTGAGACTGACTGCAGCACAATTACTGTGTGGAACGGGGAATCCAAGCAGGTGGCCCAGCCACAGAGTCAGAACACAGAGCATCGGATTGTCCTTCAGCACCACGCCACCCTACCACTCTACAGGAGCAGGGAGGAGACCAGTGAGGCTTTTCTGGGTGCTTGAGACAAGGCTGCTGAGGAGCTGGCAATATGACAAGGACAGGCAGGAGCCATCATCACAGACCCAAGAAGAAAGCCCTGGGAGGAGCTATGGGGAAGCCTAGCGGGGAGTTCTGGAAGTGTGGTCCAGGGTCAGACTAGTTCATTCCTTTCAAACACTGAATAACACTGATTGGCTGTATTCTCTGTCCCCCAAGTCTGTTTCATTAAAGGGAAAGGCTGGAAAGTAGGTTGGACTTGAGTCTAGTCTAGTGTCCTAATCCCAGCATTACCTTCATTATCTCTGGTCCACCGGAAGCTTCTTTTCTTGTCCTTTCAGCAGTCACCATGGGTGTTCCAGCTCTGCAGCAGGTTTCAGTTGGGTTCGTTGTCGCTCTACCATGTAGCACCACAGCCATAACTGATGGAGGGTTGGGTTCGAAAGCTTTTTGGACTAATTGGAGAGTTTAAACTAAAACATTTCCTAGAGTTTCCCTTAAGCAGTAGCAGTAATACCTGTGCAGACACAGTGCTTTACAGTTGACAGATTCTCTCCATAAACCATGGTTTCTGAATGCTAGATCTTTCCTAAGTGGGAAACCATGTTGCACAACCTGATTTGGCAGAGTGACTCATCAAATTCTGCTAACTACCTTCACACAGCACCTTCTGTACACAAAGCCTTCTACCAAGGGCTCCTCCCGGCAGAGGGCACCTACACTGAGTGTGGTGTTGCCTTCATTCACTTTGCACCCTGACTCACTGTTTTGGAGGCTGCCTTCTGTGCCGAGTGCACATCGACGTTGCCAGGACTTCATTATATCAGCTCTCAAGCTCCTTAGACCAAGGCTCTGATATGCCTTATCTCCGCAGTATAAGTCTTTCTAACACAACTTGCACTTTCTTGGAGATTACTTATGTCTAGAATGTCTAACCATTGAGTTCATTGTCTAGATCGGAGTGATTAGGGTATGATTCAAGAATACAGCCTGGGCATGGCACATTAACTCATACCTGTAACCCTAACACTCAAGAGGATGACAATTGCAACTTCAAGGCTAGCCTAGGCTACAAAAGGAAGCCTGTCTTTAAAAAATGTACAACTTGGCTATTCACAGCAGAAAGCCATTTCTAGGTTCTGTGAACCAGAGTGGAAACAAAAGACTTCCCAGGCCCTCTAGGTGAGGTGGGGAACAGAAGACAGTGTTGGAGCCAGGCCTAGGACACTGCTGAGCCTGTGTCTTAGAACCTCAGTGTCCAGGCTCCTGCTCTGGGCCACCAGGGCTCCTCTGGAAATGCACAGACATTTTGGGGCCTCACTCAAGCTCCTTCAAAACACCTGGGACCTCAAGGTCCTCTAAAACGCCTAGGACCCCAAGATAACAGAACCCTCCCTTGTCAAAACCACCTGGGCTGAATGCCCCTGCTGAATGGGCCATGTGACCTGAAAAGTGTGATTCCTCCTCCTTCTCCACTGAGTAGTGCCCTGAGTGCTGGTGTTGAGCCTCAGCCGAGAAGCCTGTGTGCAGACACCTGGTCACCTCAGTGCTATCCTAGGAGCTATCTTCCTGTTGTGTCTGGCATCTTAGGTTTACGAACTCTAGTGTTGTCCTAGTACTTAGCTACTTCTGGTGGCATGTCGCTTAATGACCTGAGGTGTTTTGACTAGTAACATACTTCCTCAACACAGCGGTGTTCAGTATGCTTTTTCACGGGGCCAGCGAAATGGCTCGGCAGTAAAAAGCACTTGCTGTACAGGTATGCACCATGGTTACATATTTATACACACACACACACACACACACACACACACACACACACACAATAGTAATAAGATGATTTTTAAAGAAAGTGTTCTCCTGACACCCACCTGTTGAATGACAGTGTCTTGCATTTTACAAGGGACACTAAACCTCTACATTATCAGACTATCTCTTGGTTCTTTGATGTGGAGCTTTAGGCTCTCTCCTCTGTCAGGCAGATGTGCCTAATGCTTTATTTTGACAGAACTCTGCTGCCAGAGTCTGACCATCCCTGAAACCTCCAGAGGGATGCAGTGAGGATGTGGTGAGGGACTGGGAGTCTGTGTGCTACATCTTAAGTGATGTTTCCAACTGGGGCTGGACATGTGCTTTAAATAACTGCATTCTGATCATTTAGGTCTCTCTTTATAGGGCGTCTTTTATGACCAAGACTGTCCAGTACCAAAATGAGCTCCATAAATTCCTAATCTGGGACACAGCTGGACAAGAACGAGTAAGTCACTCTTGAATTTACTGTGTTTTTCTGAGGCCCAGACCAAATTAAAGCTCCAACTAAACTGTCACCGTCCCTGTCATTTCACGTTACTCACTTCTGCTCTGTGCGCCAGAGACACATTTATTTCCATTTGTGTAGGCTGGCCTTTGTCTTTCAATTAGAGCCACAGAGTCCACTGATAGAGAAAGTGATAATGGGCACTGAGGGTGTTTTTAGACTGTTTAGTGTCTTAAAGTAAGTGCTGGCTAACAGGCCTGATAAAATCCTGCTCGAGCATTGGGTGTAATTTGGGCCCCATCCTCTAGTAAAGATGTAAAAGAATTAGTGGTAGAAAGGGAAAATTAAGCACAGCTCATTTATAGCCGCCTTTTAAAAGCTAAAGAGGGTACTTTACAGCATATAAAGTTTGAGATTTAAGTGAAATGGAGGAGCTAATGTGGCGCCTTGCGATAGGCACTTAAGAAAGCCTGGTGGCAAGACTGACCGCAGTGGCTGGCTGGCTGCCTCAGGGAGGAGCCCAAGCAGAGCTCAATGGCAGAGCGGGGCGGGGTTTGAGGAAGCCCACCTAAATCAGAACTTCAACAGGCAGCCCCCTCTGCCTCATCTGCCCTCTGGGCTCTAAGTCCAGTTTCTCTTGCGGGGTGCCTGTGGCAGCCACCCCATTATTCAACTGCTCTTTAATTTTGTTTTCAAACAGTTCTGTCCAAACAGAGCATCTGATGGATGAACAGTGCTAGCTTAAGCTCTTAAAAGTGTAGCCGAAGTAATCAGGAAAAATAGTCTGTCATCACAGTCTTATCTAAGACAACATAGATGCTGTGTGTGGTATAAAATCTGACAAGAATCATGCCAGACAAATGGAAGAAAACAAAACAAGCCATTACTAGTGTCACAGATGTAGACGCTGCATTTGGACAGATGGAGTGTCTTAAGTTGGCGCTGTCCGCTGTCCTCCATTTTTAATGCTGGGCGCCGTGCTCTTGCCCAGTCACTCCTCAGAGACCCCGTCCTCCATTGCCCATCCTTCTGTATTGGTGGCATGTGGTGTAGAATGGAGTTGGGGCAGCAGGACCTTTGCTAACCACTGCACTCCGTCCTGCAGAGGCATTGCTCACCACAGTCCTGCTGGCTGCATCCACACACTGCCCTGAGAGCTGTCCTCTTAACCAGACTGATGGAGCTTTTCCTACTAGTTTATGTGTGTCCTGCCACCCAGTCCTGTTCAGTCGCCCAACCCCTCATATCTGTTTGAGGCCTCAGTAAGAATCATGTCACTAAGAATCGTGCCACAATATAGATTCCATTATTAGGCTCTGCATCAGAGCCTGTCCTGGGGGTACACGGAAATGTAATAACATCTCTTTTCTGTGACATGAAAAGAGAAATACCCAGGAGTATTTCTCCCTTTCTAAAACCTACATGGTTGCAGGAGCCTGTAAGGACTCTAACCACCTGGTTTGCTCACCACTTACTTGCTCACTTCCAATTGATTCTTTAGCAGACATTGTTGCTCGGTAGTGCAACCCTGCCTTCCTTTGCCAAAAGTACCACCGCACGGTCCAGACAGAGCTGGTCAGGAGATGCTTACAGGCCTGGCTGGGACAGGGATATTGAGCAGGTGTCCTATGTAACAAGGAAGGAATTGGGAGAGGAGCCTCAGCTAGTGAGCACTGGCTGTAGCCACTTGTTGTTGGGCAAGAGTATATACCAGGGTTCCAGACTGTAGGATCAGCCCCCATATGTGAATCTTCTGGGTCAAGGACTGCTCATTTGTCTTGGCAAGGCCTTCAGTAACCTGAGTATACCAGCCATGGCCAGACTCAATTTCACCTCCTCCCAGCAGTCTCTATGACAGCAGTGAATGTGTGTGGTTCTCCAGTGTGCCACTCAATTTTAGACTCTAGTCCTTCTTCCAACCTTTTGCAGGAAAACTCTGTCCAGCCTTTAGAGCCTACCTCTGATGTCACCAAAAGAGGAGCTCCTAACCAGCCCTATTGCCATAAAGCCGTTACTCAGACTCAAATCTGAAGATTGTCTTGGATCCCCCTCAGCCTCTGCCCTGCGTACTCCTTCAGCTCCCCTCCCTGCCCCCAGACAGCTCCACTGCCTGCTCCAGCTGACTTGTGCTATCACTGAAGTGCTCTGTAGCCTTCTGACTGGTCTCCCTGCTTCCCCTCAACAGAGTTTTGCCCCATATCCTTTCTAACAAGATCTTTGGGGAGCGTTGGTCAGGCACTGCTGCCTTGAAGGGACTTGGAGCCCGTGTACCCTGCTCCACTGTTCTCCCAGTTGGCCTCCGTGCAGGTCCTTAGGCATACTTGCCAGCAGGCCTCCACACACAGTGGTCCTTCCCACTGGAGTGCTCTCCTCCCTCATTCATACACTCATTACCAGCTTTTGGTCACACCGCAGGGTTTTCCGCAGCCTTTCTGTACCTAAGCAGGGCTTCAGGCTCATTCTCCATCATTGCCCCGATTCATGTCAAGACACTTATCACAGACTCTTAACTTCCTTTATTGACAGTCTCTTGCAACAAGCTGTAATCTTGAGGAGCTAAGACCACAGGGTCTTGTCTACTGCTGTAGGCCCAGAGCCCAGCACAGTGCCTGAAGTAGACCTGATGCCAGTGCTGGGTGGACAGATTAGCAGGAGAATTGTATCCTGAAGAGTGTTTGCTTGCCCTCAGCCATGGGCTGGTCACCTGCCTTCTAACGTTTCTGCCTTCCACTTGACTGTGAGCTCCTGGAGAGACAGGGACTGCCTTCGTGCATGTGCTTGGTTCATGCCCTGCGTGGGCACAGGTGAGGACGGGTCCTCTCTGCCCACTGTAGGTAGCACGTGACTGATGCTTACTTGTTTAGTATTTAGCTCATGATGGGATTTGTAATGGAACTGAAAACCGTTACAAAACGAAAAGGGTTCTTGATGAACTGAACAAATATCCCCCGTCCACCCTCACATCTGTTGCACATGTAGCTCTGAATGATGGCCTTTCTTTCTGACAGTCAGTTTTCAACTGACAGCAAAGTGATTTCACTAAGTCAGTGAAAGTGAGTTTGAGGAATTGAATGGTATCTGAAGTCCTTGACTCTAGTGATCTTGTTATAGTAAATGAAGAGAAAAACACTGCCCAATACTGACGCACCTGCTAAAAAGTCAGTGGTTTGTATCAGAAGGTCAGGAAGCACTGAGGAGAAACTGCCTGGCGCTCTCAAATGGTTTTTCAAAATGCCTGTTTTTATGGTAGGACAATGGGAGTCGGCCGTGATGTGAAGGGGAGGGGTCAGCAGTTCACACATGCTTCCATCAGAAGAAGCAGTCTGCCTAACTGACTCAGTGTTCAGCCTAAGAATTAACTCCCGGCTGTAAAAATAAGCCTCAGATTTTTCAAATGCCAGGTTAAATGAAACTTGTTTTCATGATTTTAAGCCTATTTTCTCAAGACTGAATGTTTATGAGTCCTTTGTCTGCCATTTGCAAGCCAAGTGAGTTCATTTTGTCACCCGTTCATCTTAGCCTCCGAGAAGATTTGTGGTACTGAGATAGCCCAGCACGTGCACAGATGACCACCATGAATGCAGGGGAGCATTTCCAGTGTGTGCCTGTTGGTGTGGTGTCCTAGAAGCTTGCTCAGCCCCATCTTGAACATGCGGCCCTGAAGGTTTACCCCTGCACCTTCCACACTGCTGACGACGTCCTCAGGAGGGGTTAAATGAAACTTGTTTTCATGATTTTAAGCCTATTTTCTCAAGACTGAATGTTTATGAGTCCTTTGTCTGCCATTTGCAAGCCAAGTGAGTTCATTTTGTCACCCGTTCATCTGAGCCTCCGAGAAGATTTGTGGTACTGAGATAGCCCAGCACGTGCACAGATGACCACCATGAATGCAGGGGAGCATTTCCAGTGTGTGCCTGTTGGTGTGGTGTCCTAGAAGCTTGCTCAGCCCCATCTTGAACATGCGGCCCTGAAGGTTTACCCCCTGCACCTTCCACACTGCTGACGACGTCCTCAGGAGGACAGAACAGTGTGAGGGCACTCATTCATCACTGTGCACAGGAGAAACTGCTCTCAGCTTCAATCAGAACAAGGGTGGCGCTCGGAATGCCTCACGCTAGGCTCTAAACTGGCCCTTGGGCCAACTGAACCTGTTGCCTGTTTTTGTGAGTAGTCTTATTTGAAGATAGCCGTGCCCATTGCTTTCTTTTGTCTGGCTGCTTTCAGTCCACAGTAGTATGGATGAGTGGCCGTGACAGAAATTGTAAGGCCCAAAGCTGAAGCCATCTACTCTGACCTTTCACAGGGAGAGTTTGCTGTCCCCAATCTAGAGCCAGATCACACACAAATCTATGACGTTTTTTTATCTCTTTATCTGATTCCATCTTCTGTCTTTGCACCGAAAGGATCTGGACAGAGTTACAATGTCAGTAACGGTAGTATAGCTCAAAATGGACTACCCCCCCCTTATCTATAGATTCTGAACAAAACTCTATAAAATGGCCTTCTTGCGGGTCCAACAGAACGGCCAGTGGCATGGGTAGAGTGCCCGGCTGGCACAGTTGAGGCCTCCACAGGCCAGCTCTTCACAGGCACCTCTCATCTGTGCACACAGGGTAGGGAAGAGTCCAGCAGGAAACTGCTGACAAAAAAGAGGCAGCAAACCCCAAGAAGGGATGACCCAAGGCCTGTTTAGAAGCTCTCCACAAGCCCTCGCTTGACTCTCAGATTAAGAATGTGCAGGGGGACTTCTTAAAACCCAATAGAAACCAACGGGAGGTGGTAGCGAGACAGCAGAGATTCGCTGCTGCCCATTGGCAGAGCTGGAGTCTGAAGTTTGAATCCAATCTGCCATGCTAGAGGGAGTTGGGAAGCTGCTCAGGCTTTCTGCTGAAGCCTCTCCTTAGGAGGAGAGACTGTGTCTGGGTTTCAGAACAAACCCAAATAGATCCACCCGAACCATCCACAAAACCAGGTTTGCTGGGTGTTGTGGTACAGATCTT